CTGTTTTCCATTATTGTCCCTCACTAATGAACTTTATTTTAAAAAAAATAAACGTAATGTGTTAGGGAGCAGACTCTTCCCTGTTTCTTAATCCCCTCAGGAGGTTTGGCCCTGGTTCAAGTGAAACTCCTCTGTTTTCTTCTACTTTCTGTTGGGGCCTTTTAATGTCTTGTCACTTGCCTCCAAACTCTTTTTCTGATACTTCACATTTTACTTTTCACCTACGTAGGGATCCTCCTCGACTCACTTACCCAAAATAAACCTGACTGCAGTATGAAAGCAGTTGCTCTTCTGAATGTCTCTAAGGTTTCCTTAAGCCTTCCTGTTCAGTTGTGCATGTGCAGTATAAGGCAGGGTCTGCTCAATGTTGCACCACGGTGTCGCTGCTTGTCTGTATGTTACAGGTTAAACAGGTGGAGATGACAAATGGGTTTCACTGCAGCCGTTCCTTCACAATATGAAGAACGCAGTGATCACCAAGCAGCAACGGTTGGCTTTAAGACAACAGAAACTCATGCAGGTTTATACATGCCATCTAAGATCCTGATGACTGTATAGCCACATAGAAATCAAATCTGAGACTGTGTTGGTGTGCGTGCGTGTGTGTGTGTGTGTGTGTGTGTGTGTTGTGATAAATTGAATTGATAACTGATACCTGAGTGAAACTTCTCCTTCATATCTTTTGATTACTGTGAACTCTGATGAAGAAAAAGTTTTATGTGTAAGATCTTTCCTTACTGGAGTTCAACCATTTCTTATTCCCATGGGTAAAAATAAAAGTTGTCCATTAATACTATCTATAGAAAGATTTGACTTCTAATAATTACAAAATAAAAGACTTCGAGATTCATGTTTAGCTATCTAAAATGACACCACTCCTGTTTAAATCATCCAAAACACAAGAAATAAGAAAAGATAATTAAAATGATATAAAAGCAACATGAAGCTATATATTGCATAATAACAACCATTCAAGTAACATCTTAAAGACAAACTAACATGCAGCCAAAATCAAAATTTCTGTGAACGTCAGCCTGTTGTTTTCAAACTCAATACAGTTTTTAGAAACACTTCAGATTCTGATTTTGTGTCCTGCTTCCTCTTGAAGACACATTTCAGGTTTGACAGCAAATCTGTTCAGGAAGCATTCCTCCAAGTGTGAACACAAGTGTGGTTGTGCATGGACGAGAGTGAACGTAAGTATGCCCGAATACATGAAGGCGAGATGAAGTCCCATCAAGCAGGCATGAATCCAGCTGCTGACAGATTATTTGCTCTCGTCTTTACCTTGTGATGGCTGAAAAAAGGCAAATTCTTCGAACAGCTTTTGTCTGGGATGAACCTACATTACAGTGTTACTGCAGTGTGCCATAAAGTCCATGTACTGATTCAAAGTAACTAAGTACATTTACCTAATAGGCCTACTGTACTCAGTACAGTACTTAGGTAAATGTCAGTTGTATTAGTCAGTCATAATAGTCCTATAAATACAAAAAATTTACAGACATTTTTCATGTTGATACTTTACTCTCAGTTGCTTTGGTGCATTTCTCACATCACTATTTACATTTGCACAACAGTTAATGCAGTTCTGAAAACAATTAGTACAAACTGCAAAACCTATTTGATGACCTGCAAAAGTGTGTCACTTGCTCAAAATGGATAGCTCATTCCTCAAAAGCAAGTATTCATGTCAGTGAAAGTCCTGACACCATTGTTTATGAACAAGATAGTCAAATGGCTTTGTCATGTTTTCATCATGTTTACTCTGTAAATGCAAAAAAGTCAGATCTTGGTGACACTACCTGAAAATGCTCAAGACAGCACTATATACTATTTGAACAGCCATTTGAAAACAGTAAAGTTACACATTATTGTATTCAGTGAGGTAACTGAGTGCAAGACACTGAAGATGTATGTTTCATATTTTTACTGCATATGCTCTTTGCAATTCTAATTTGTTCACAGCATTGTGCAAAAGACAAAATACACCAAACATAAACTCCCTTTGGGTAGAGCTGTGCACAACTGTAAACAATATTGCAGTACATATTGGAACTGAACATACAACATAGTACTGTAAATCATTCATGCACATCCAGATGTTCCTCTCTGTCTGGCCACATAGTTTCATCTACCTCACAGCGAATATCATCCCTTGCAATGCAGCGAGGAAAGTATCTCCTCAAGTGGCGAATCCACCCTCTGCAGGACTCTGCTGTGATGTCATCACATGCTGCATCCATGTCCGCTAGCAGGGCCATTTGGGTATGTGGATGCCCGTCATATACCTTCCACTTCCAGGAAGAGAAAAACTCCTATTGGATTTAGGAATGGTGAGTAGGGAGAGAGATACTGTATTCTACCATCCTATCATGTGCTGCAAACCACTGTCTGACGACATCTGAGTGGTGAAAACGCACGTTATCCCAAACAACAACATGCTTGTTCAGATGGTCTCCAGTTAGATGTCCCTGTAAAGAGTGTCTAAAAAGTCAGCAGATGTTGTGTGTTGTATGGACCAAGATGGGGGATATGGATGAGGATGCTGTTTTCTGAGATGGCTGCACACATGGTTGTTCAGTGGTTGCTCTCTGTCCAATGCGATTCCTTCCACATCTTCTACCTTTTGCCAGATTGAAACCTGCCTCATTAGGGTATATGAATGTGTGCAGCGGTTCCCTGGCCTCCTGCTCCAGTACATGCTTTATTACAGAAGAGTGAGTGAGAAAAACTATAACAACTTTTCCTGTGTAACATAATGAATTTTGGACAACATATTGTACAGTATGCACTATGAATACACATACACAGAACTGTCATGTAAGTGTAGTGCATGACACTACTCAAAGTAAACACTTTACAGCACTGAACATTAGAATATGCAGAGAACACATACTGGTGAAACTCACCAAAACCATTTATTTCAGTAATTCTACTTATAAGTTCACCTTTTAAGTAGAATTACTGAAATAAATAAATGTATATAATATAAATTATATAGACTCATTACACGCAAAGTGAGATATTTCAAGTCTTTATTTGATATAATTTCGATGATTATGGCTTATGAAAACCCCAAATTCAAAATCTCAGAAAATTAGAATATTACATGAAATCAATAATAAAAAGGATTTTAAATACAGAAATGTCAGCCCTCTGAAAAGTAATCATGCATATGTACTCAGTACTTGGTTTGGGCCCCTTTTGCATGAATTACTGCCTCAATGCGGCGTGACATGGATGCTATCAGCCTGTGGCACTGCTGAGGTGTTATGGAAGATCAGGATGCTTCAATAGCGGCCTTCAGCTCTTCTGCATTGTTCAGTCTCATGTCTTTCATCTTTCTCTTGGCAATGTCCCATAGAGAATCTCAGGTCAGGCGAGTTTGCTGAGCCAATCAAGCACAGTAATCCCATGGTCACTGAACCAGGTTTTGGTACTTTTGGCAGTGTGGGCAGGTGCCAAGTCCTGCTGGAAAATGAAGTCAGCATCCCCATAAAGCTCGTCTGCTGAAGGAAGCATAAAGTGCTCTAAAATGTCGTGGTAGACGGCTGCGCTGACTCTGGACTTAAAGCACAGTGGACCAACACCAGCAGATGACATGGCTCCCCAAACCAACACAGACTGTGGAAACTTCACACTGGACTTCAAGCATCTTGGATTTTGTGCCTCTCCATTCTTCCCCCAGACTCTGGGACCTTGGTTTCCAAATGAGATGCAAAATTTGCTCTCATCAGAAAAGAGGACTTTGGACCACTGAGAAACAGACCAGTTTTTTTCCTTTAGCCCAGGTAAGACGCTTCTGACGTTTGTTGGTCAGGAGCGGCTTGACAAGAGGAATACAACATTTGAAGCTCATGTCCAGGACCCGTCTGTGTGTGGTGGCTCTTGATGCAGTCACTCCAGCCTCAGTCTACTCCTTGTGACGCTCCCCCACACATTTGAATGGCCTTTTCCTGACAATCCTCTCCAGGCTATGGTCACCCCTGCTGCTTGTGCACCTTTTTCTTGCTTCCTCCCTTTGGCATTGTGCAAGCACTGCAAGTCAAAATCTTTAGATGTTTTGTCACTATGGCAGGGGACCACTGAAATATACCTCACGTCCACCTTTCAGTCTTAGCCCAGTCCTTCATTGACAATTGTTACTGTACAGTTTGTCATCTAGCTAAACAGAATACAATTGTGTATAAAACTGAAAGAAATAGGACTTTAGGGTACTTTATTCACACACAAAGTAACTTCCATACATCAGAGTAAAAAGAAAGTGTATACAGCATAATATACTGTAATATAAACACTCAAAAAAAAACACAATGAATTATATGCAGCCTACAGTGCTGTAAATAAAGCTCGAGTTTCACAACTAACAGTTCTTCACTGGTCACAGTTCTCACCCTCCTGGCCATCCACACGCTGCTGTTTGGCCACAGATTCTCGTCCACATCACAGCGTATATTCTCCCTTGCGATGCAATGAGGGAAGAAACGGCGTGCATGTCGTAACCATCCCCTACACTGATCTCCTGCAATATCCTCACGTCCATTGCACGGAGCAGGGACCTCTGATCTTGAGCCCAATTCTCATACACTACCTCCAAGCAGAGCATTGAGGAAATAACTCCTCAATAGGATTGAGGAAAGGAGTGTAAGGTGGTAGGAACACCATGACCATCCTTGGATGAGTAGTGAACCTGATGAGCGGGCCACAGTGGAAATTCACATTGTCCCATACAATGACATATTGTGGTAGGTGAGGCCCTACGAGACCTCTCTCATTTTCAGGGATCAAATCCAAATGAAGGCGGTCCAAGAAGATGAGGAGCTTCTATGTATTGTATGGGCCAAGACTGGGGATGTGAGTGGCCACACCATTCTCAGATATGGCAGCACACAGTTATATTGCCCCCTCGCTGCCCTGGGACATCCACTGTGGCCAATAATATTACGGCCACGTCTTTGGCCCTTGGCCAGGTTGAAGCCAGCTTCATCCACAAACATGAGGATGTGATGGGTCTCATTTCCTTAAAATGCCATTCTTCTCTACAACAGCAAAAAAAAAAAAAAAAAAAAAAATCAAATCAGTCATACACTACAGTTACAGACAATTACATTTGAGTGTTCTATGTTCTCCACAAGTTCAATATACTACTGGCCACTACTCCAGTGGTTCCAAACCTGGGGTACATGTACCCCTGCTACAAGGGGTATTTGACAGAAAGGGGAGGGGGAAATCATCAATGACTAGACTTACTGAAATGTTACAGTAAAACCCACAGTATTAGATTTACATGGGAGGCACTAATTGCAGCTCTTTGACACCCTTTTCTTATTGTATGTTATATTCTTCAAAATAAGGATTACAATGATAATTGTATCACAGTAAGCTGCAGTTTTTAGGCAAAATGTTGAAGTCAGATAAATCAAATACTTTCATACCTCGATACACAGATCAGGTAAAGTGGGTACTGAAGTGAAAAAAGTTAGGGAACCACTGCTTAATTATAAAAAGGTTATAATGGACAACCAGTAACTGACTTACATGTACATACTGGTACCACAGCTCTTTCACTCTCAGAGTTCCTCTTAAATAGTACCCTGTAAGTTTGCTTCATTGTCATCTGATTCTTCAATATCCGGTCTATTGTGGAGATGCTTATAGAGTTGACATTTTGGAATATGGCATTGTCTTGTAGGATTGCAGTGCGAATCTGTCTCAAGGTGATGGCATTACAGATCTCCTGTTCTTGTTGTTCACTGAGAAGTTTCCAATCCTAGACATAGAATTCAAAAGGACAACACTCCATTTGTAATGTATACCTTAAAGAATGAGTTACCTATGTAACTGTATTGTTGTTTTACTTACAGTAACTTTACCACAATTCTAATGCATCACTGGACAGTGACTGGAATAGTACTGTAAACTGTATCATCAATACTGTAGAAAATAAACTATGGTATAGTTTATTTTCTCCAGTGTTTTTCCTTGTCATTTTTAGTATCATAACATCCCATTGAGGTAAGATATTACACACTCTAAATGAATAGGTAAATGTGTAAATAAATATATTTCTTGTTCTATGCACAGTGTCCTGTCCTATACAACATATAATTCCATCATTGACTGACTACATACCTGTTTTCCCTGCAAAAGGTTTGGATGATGGAGACTGTAGAGCGATGTCATGGTTCGTGTGGTGAAGCAGGTAGTAGGTGGGAGGACCCAAATGCTGGACTCAAGGCTGACAGGTACAGTTCAAGGGTTTTAATAAACGAAATAAGAGGCGAGCACACTTACAGAGAGTGGCTGAGTCCAAAATCCAAAACTGTTGATTCAAACAGAAATCCAAATCCACAGAAAACAGGGTGCCACGACAGGCAGGCAAACAGAACATCACAAGACAGTATCTGCACACGACACAGGGAGACAGCATACAATGACCCGACAAAGACAAGACAGAAACACTACATACATACATACTTACTAACGAGCAGGGCGGGAGCAACACAGGTGAAAGTCATGAGGCTAACGAGGCAGGAGAAAACAGAGAGACATGCACAGGGATCACTGGGGTAACAGACATGACAAGGGTTACCGAATACTAGACGACAGACAAGACAGACCCCCAAAACCCAACAGACCAAAATAACGCTAACTAAACACAAGTGCAAAACATGGCATGGCAGACAGGCAGAGTGTGACAAGCGAGGCACATTAGGCTGCACTCTGCGACCTGCCTCCGCCATTGTGAGGCCATGGCTAATGACATGGTCTATAATTGTGGCAAGAATTTCATCCGGGACAGAATGGTGTCTTCGTCCTCCAATTGTACTGGTCCTACATGGTCAAGCTCTTTACATACATTCACAGTAATGGACAGCACTTGTCATATAACTAAACATACTGTTTGATTGGTCATCTGAGATGTGACACTCCTTCGTTAGTCAAGTTCTAGTTTCACCTGACTGTCAATTTCTGTAATAAATATGTCAAATGTTCCAAGGAATTCATATATGGTATTCATGGTATTATGTTCTTGACTAATTTTGACAATTGAACAGACTATTGTTTGTGATGACTTATACAATGAAATGACGCTGACACATTTTGGAGTGAACAACCATTAGACTGCAAAATGAACAGTTTAGATCAACAAGATCTATTCACTTGAAAATTGTGCTAAATGTAGGCTACCTGTACTTAATCATTTGCAAAGATGTACTGAGACATTGAGACATCTACTTAAGACATTTGCAATTTGATGAAATTAATGAGATTCAATTCTGTTAACAATTGCCAAGTGGTTTGGAGGTTTGTCCATGATGTTTTGAGAATGTAATTTCTGTTTCAAGAAGTGAGCCAAACCAATGGAGAAAAACTGTAATGTGCCTTGATACAACACTTTGAGAACATCCAGCTTCTTTTGCAATTACCTTTTGAGGCTTTGTCAATGATGGTTTTCTACACAACTGTCAGGTCAGCAGTCTTCCCCATGATTGTGAATTCCACTGAACCAGACTGAGAGACCAATTAAAGGCTCAGGAACCCTTTGCAGGTGTTTTGGATTAATTATCTGATTAGAGTGTGACACTTTGAGCCTACAATACTGAACCTTTTCACAATATTCTAATTTTCTGAGATTTTGAATTTGGGGTTTTCAGAAGCTGTACGCAATAATCATCAAAATTATATTAAATAAAGGCTTGAAATATCTCACTTTGCATGGAATGAGTCTATATAATATTAGTTTCATCTTTTAAGTTGAATTACTGAAATAAAAGAACTTTTGCACGATATGCTAATTTTTTGAGTTTCACCTGTACATGTTTTACCTGTACATACTGGTGACGGATCTCCTTCACTCTGTTGCTGTTCTGCTCAAATGGCACATTGTACAATTGTTCCATGCGCATTTCATTCCTCCTGAGCACTCTGTCAATTGTTGCGACTGAAACAGATTCAATATTCCCAAAGATGTTGTCATCCTCTATAACAGCACTTTGTATCTTTGTCAACTATATGACATTGTTTGCAATCTCCATTGCACAAATGGCTTCCTCTTGTTGCGGAGTAAAAAGGCGCCCTCTTCCACCTCTGCAAGGTTGTCTTGCGATCCTGTGTGGTGCAGAGTAAAATCACAGTAAACTGTGTAACACTACTGTACACTACAATACACTAAAGGTGTGATGCACTAAAGCTGTACGTCTAAATTTAAAATGTAAACCGTGACAAGTTCTTGTTCCACTGCAAGCTTCATGTATGACACAATGACAGTAGTGCAGTGCAGATTGTTTAGTGCTGAATTACTGTCGATTTATACACACCTGTTCTCCCGACAAAATGTTTGAATAATTGAATTTACAGTGGTTCTCCCAACATTTGGCTGCACCCTTCAACCAGCCTAAGCCATTGTGAGGCTGTGATTGACAACATGATCCACAATTGTAGCCCTGATTTCATCAGGAATCTGCCTATGTACTTGGCCTCTTCTTCCTCTTACCCTGTTTTGCCCCCTTCCCCGTCCTCCCCGCACCCTCACCCCTCTTCCATGAGGCTGACCTTCCATTTCTGTGTCACAGTATTGTAGAAATGGTACACACTATGTCCTGCTTGGTTCATATATGCTTGTAAAGTGGGGGGTTATGGGATTCAGCTCTGAGTGATTGTAGAGAAGTGGCTTATTATTGGTTGCAACTAATGCTTCACACACCCCTTCTCATAAGTGAAAGCTGAGGTTCACCTGTGTAAAATTTGCTTGACAGATTTTGAGAACTAGTTCAACATTTTTGTATGTAATGACTCAAGCAATGAAATGAGGACTATTAGTTTTATATGGAATGACTATTCAGCAGTCACAAGTATAGTTAATTTTGAGTGACATGACATAAGCAAATGATAATGTTCTAAAACAGCAGAGAGTTGTATGATAGCAGTTGATGCATGTCCAAAAGCATTTGTTATTTGTTGGAAGGAATGAGAAATTGCTACTATTATGTGCACAAATGACTAAATGTTGTGGAGGTTGAACTAACTGTTGTGCAAATGTTAATAGTGATGTGAGAAATGCACCAAAGAGACTGAGAAAAACCATAAGTAGCCTACATTTTACTGATACATTGTAACAAAATATCCATCTGTCACAAACACCTCAAAATTTATTTTACATTGTAGTACTGCTAATTTTACTTAAGTAAAAGATCTGACTATTCGTCTGTGCCGTAAAAAATGAGAAGGCTGTGATTGCTGCTTAATCACAACAGGAACCAAACTGGACTGGGCGGAAAGGGAGGCTGAACCAGGTGAGAAGTGGCAGAGCTTGTTTTGACAGTCTCCCATGCTTTCTTCAACAATAACCGCCTTCAGTCACAAGTCACCTCACCTGTCCAGGCCATCCATGAACCTCCACCACTCTGTTCATTTTAAATAATGCACTCATTGTTGCCTCTGTGTTCCGAAGGTGCCTGTGAGTCACAAGACTGTGATGAATTGGACAGATAATAAGAAAAGAAAGAAATAAAACTTTGGAGGCTTTAACAACTTAAGGGTACTGCAAAAAATTGATATTGTAAGAAATGTAAAGGTTGTAAACATCTTGCCAGTCCAGCAAATCAAGACAAACCACAACCTCTGAGGCCTGATGAGAAGATTGAGGAATTTTGACTGATGGTATCTTGTCTGACGAGGATCTGACAGCAACAGAGTGATTTACACAATCGCACTTTCTCACCTCTTCACTAAAACACTAAAATAAGTGTTGAGTCTAACCACAGTAGACTGTTTTGCATCTGATTGTATCTACAACTGGAGAGCATGATCCAAACTGATAATCCTGAACAGGGAATTTTTTTCATCCTTTTCTGCGGGTACATTTGAAGATTTGTCATCGTGTCTCATGACTCATGTCTGCTTCGCTCTCGAAATACATGTCTCTGTGTGTAGTTCAAATGAAGGTGAGAAAGTTTCCTATGGATGTGAGTCTTAAAATGGCGGGCTGAAGCAACCATGATCACGCAGGAATGCTGTGCACTCTGTTTGGCTGCATTCCTCAAACAGCCAACACACGGCCAGCGAAAGCTGCTTTTAAAAATCTCATACTTGTAGCCAAATGAAAATACAAAACAGTGAGTAAGGTGTCATATTTTATGAGATTAAACATATATCAAAATAGAGACTTCGCCCTGACCGGTACACTAGCTGCAGATGAGAGGAACTGGGAAGATAAGGGATGCATACAAATTTATCTCCTTCTAATTCACTGTAATAAAACAGGGTTTGCCTGTCATTTCTGTATGTCCTGCCTGCAAACATTCATGTACCCATGGAAATGTCTGAGCCTGTAGAGCTGCTTCACAATACAGTGCTCAGGTTACTGTGAGTGTTTACATGTGTCAGGCAGCTGAATCCCACACTAACGGCTCACAGATCATCATCTCACCTCCGAATGAGACGTTAGGTAAATGAAGCTGAGGTCACATGAACACAAACAGATAAAATAATAATAAATCTGTTGGGATGTTTAAATCTTCAGGGTTGTGACTATGTCTTTAAACATATAAGAAAAAGAAGGAATAACTGGGGTTTGAGATTAAGTGATTGTAATCTGCATTGTGTCTAAACAGCTACAGTTTCCAAAACAATTGGATTACATTAGACTGTATGTGTGTGTATGTGTGTGTAGTCCTGGTTCAGATAGGTCTTTGAATATAATATCACAGAGCAGCTCCTGTGGCATCAAATCACTGCCTGTTTGATCTGTAAACCTAAAGACTTCCCACAACAGGCTATTTTTATAAAACCAAAATACCATCACTCAAAATCCGTCTATGCGTGCTGTTCATATTGTATATATTACAAATACCATATCCACTTACCTCATGTAAGCCACCTGTGGTAAGGGGTTGGCTTATTTATTTAGTTAGTTAGTTGTATATTTGTTCTTGTTTTTGTTTCTGTAGATGTCAATGTGGAAATTGTTGACATTGTTACAAATGGATACAAATATAGGGAAAAAATACAGCTACATCCACAGTTCAGAACTAAAACATAAGCAGTGTTGTGAAGCAAAACACACACACACACACACACATATACACACACACACACATACACACAATGAGAAGGAAACAGGTCAGTACTTTTTCCAGGTGAGGTTAAGGGACTCTTAATGGAGTGAGTGTGTGTGTGTGTGTGTGTGTGCGCGCGCATGCATGTGTGCGTGCGTGTGTGTCTGTGCGTGCATTAGCCCAAGTGTTTTAGGATTTGTGGAGCAGCATGCGGGTCTGCCGTGCCCTCACTGTTTTTACTGTCATCAGAGGGAACAGTGTGATACCATCTAACCCCGGCCTCAGCAAAACACTGAAAAACATCCCGACCAGGCATTGCCTGCGCTCAACCCTGAAACATTGAAACCACAAGTAATCAGTTACGCGGGAGCAAGGACAATCCCACAATGTCAATAAAATAATAT